TAGGATCTAAGATATGCTAAACATTAATAATGTAAAATAATATGGTGCATTAAACAGCGGCCGAACATGAGTTCTTGAAAGTTCAAGAGATGTTCTGACTCGTGGTTAAATGTTCAATTGTTCTTGCTAAGCACCTTTCTTCTCTTTGTCCTGCTTCACAGTTGTACCAGCAGAGAAAAACCGAGAGAGAGAATAGGAAACTGTTCATTCTGAGAAAAATGTCCCTTTCCCCTTTTCCTTTTTTTTTTTTCATTGAGTCTCTCTCGGGCTGCCTCTGACTTTGGATCAGATTTAGTTCAGTGCTGAGCTCGGCATCCTTAGCAGGGAGAGATGAAGCCCCGTGCAGACGTGTCAGGGTGTCGTGATTCGTCTTAGACTTTATCAGGGAACACTAAAGCCCACTGAGTTCAGTGACTGATCTGGGACCAGTTGTATGAATATGCCACTGTTCACACCAGGCTTCAGCAACACGGCTTTCAAGAACACCACATGGAAGCCCACCTGAACCTGAACACTCCATTTAAAGCACAACTGTTTTAATTTAACAAGCAGTGGAAGGATCATGCAGCTGGGATTTGCTGATGAATTAAAAACCGAATAGATTGCTAATTGTGCTCGTTACACCTGCAGCTCAGTGTTAAATCAAACTGATTGGTATTTTGAGGAAAATTAAAATAGCCTAATCTCAACCTTCTACTCCTAATGACAAAAGAAAACACTGCATACAGTTTTTTTTGTTTGTTTTTGTTGTTTTATTTGGGGGGGGGGGGGTCGATAACATTCAGCACACACTTGATCCTTTACTAAACGATTCTAAACTGCTCAGTGACCCGTTTTATTATGAAATCTGTTACTCAGTACTTCATTACTATAAAAAGCTGACATTTGGAGTACGCAGATTTCACCTGACAGTGGCCTTTTGCTGTTGGCTTTGTCCTCCCTCTTAGGGCTTTAGTAGGCCAGTGTCCAGTATTGCATAAGGACACGCACACAAATACCAAAAGGCTAAGCAGAATTGCTCTTTGTGGAGCTTTTATTCTTCTCTCTCTCTTTTTCAGAGCCTTAATTCTACGAATCCTGATTGCCTTCCTGTGTTCATTTGTCTCGAGATGAGCACCGACGTGAAGCTTCGGCAGCTCGTGCTATCATTCTGCATAATAACTACATCCGCACAATAACACTCCATCATTCCTGTTTGGTTTTGTGTGAAAATGTGTAGCTCTTTTGCAGCTTATTTTTCTTTTTAATATATATATTTTCAGTCTACAACGTCACTGCTTTTCTTTTCTTCCAGGCTCTTAAAACACCATGACACAGAATAGGTAGGTACTTTTGGAGGTTAATACCTACATTTGTGTGTTTTACTCAAACTTTTATAAGCTCCTATGCATTTCATTTAGATGCATGTTTCCTTCCAGTTCATTCCTACACTTCTAGAAAGAGAGTCCAAGGTTGACATGATAACTAAATGAATTATTTCCTCTGCAGATGCCACTCCTGGCTGTGCATTATTACAAATGGAGTAGTTTATCAGTATATTACCTTCCAGTGTCCTTCCTTTAGGACCATCTCATTTTACCTGTCACAAAGCCTGTAATGGGATTCAAAAGTAAGACAGGCTTCAGTTGACAGTAATGGCCTCTCGTAGGGAGCAAACTAGCCATGCTCTGCACTATTTTTTTCTTCATCATGTAAAAAAGTTGTATTGCTTGAGACCATGCTGGAATAATGAGATTTCCCATGCATTTAAATGATCTTATCAATAATCTTGTTTTATCTTTTGAAATGGTTTAAAGAGTTTCAATAAAATTTGTTCATTAAAACGTAGGATGCATTTATGAATGCAAATTTTGGGATGCTGTTATGATTTAAAGTAAAAATTATACAACATATTTAATTTGACTATAGTGTTCTATTCACAAATTTCGTCAAATAGCAAGATGCTTGTTTGTGAAGAAAACGTGCTTCCCAGTGCTTTTCGTTAGACACCCTGTCTGTTGCATTTCATTTACTTACTGTGACGGTGATTAAAGTTAAATGGTAGGTTCACCACAGGGTTTACTCCGACCTCGCTGAGTGTTGTCATGGAGACTCAAACTCTTTGTTTGGAAAGGTGATTCTTTCTTGCTAAGCATTTTAGGTGTGAACAGGGAACACACTGATGAGAAGGGATGTTTAGCCACGAGAATGGTCACGTCAGGCAGACAAGAAAGTCCGCAAAAAAAATCCCATTTTTCAAGACCTTCCAGCCTTCATGAGGAAAGAAAGCCACTTCATGGTTGGATCAGTGAAACCAGTTTGTCTTAAACGACAGCAGTGGCTAATTTTAACCTGGGTTGTAATGTTTTCTAAGCTATAAAAACAAACGGATAAATTTTAATTGAGAAGATTTGCATTTATTCATGGATTTACTTGAGTTGAACTACAGTTTGATGGCAATCTTTATTATATTTTCCAGAATCCATAAGTGTACATGTGTTTTGTGAATAAAAGTCGTGATCCAGTAAATGTAAACATCAGGTCTGGATCCAATTCCTGGACACCCATTGAGTTGAATCAATCAATCAAAGAAAAAAACATCCATCCAACTATTATCTTTTACCCTCTTTTTCCTGGTGCCCATGTCCAGCTATTACTGTGCGAGAGGTGGGGTACACCCTGGATAGGTCTCCAGTCCATCACAGGGACACATAAAGACAAACGAGACAAACAACCATTCACTCTCTCAGTCACACTTGAGAACAATTTAGAGTTACCAATCAGCCTAACATGCATGTTTTTGGTCTGTAGGAGGAAATCGGAGTACTCGGAGAAAACCCATGCATGCATGGAGAGAACATGCAAACTCCACCCAAAAAGCACCCCCAGCCGGGATTTGATCTACCGACCTTCTTGCAACAGCTCTACCAAACTGGGCCACTGTGCCGCCCATTTTTTTATTTTTTATTTTTTTTGCGAGATGCACCTTTGGTGTTGGTGATTATTTCATGGAATGCTATTAATTTGTTCAATTTAAACAGTAAAAATAATCAGCTGATGCATATTTTTAAGTCAGCCAGTCAGCCATAACCATATAGGGACAGTTTAATGTACTTGACATTTAAACGTACAGACTATAAAGGAACTTCAATATGTTTTAGCCTTAAAAGAAAATGGATAGCACCATAACTTTGGCTGTATGCTGACTCCTTTGCAGTGTGACACATAAAGTGTTGTAACTTGATGTTTTACTAACTTTTTACATCCAGCTTTTGGCACAATGACAATACATATCTATAAAAGCAGCAGCACGAAACAAATTTAGAAACACCCTTCCTAATTTGCAGACAGCTTGTGCTTTGGAGTGTTTGTTGGCTTTAACTCCTCGGAGCACTGCCTAGTGTCTCCAGCTCCCCAAAGACCTTGTGGGTGATAATCAGTCATTACTGCTCCTTCACTAAGATTTTTTTTTTTTTCCACATTCACATAGATATATTCATCATTTATTCATGTGACAGTTGTTATCTATTATTGTGTTCCTTTCATGTGGCCAAGAATGAGAGATTTTATGGAACATTAGGTTTGCGTGTGTCTGACGGTGCCATGCTGATCATGTTTCTTCTTCCTTCTTCAATGCAGTTGGAAATCTCCCAGGTCAGTTAATTACAGGATATTGATACTGGTATCATAACGGCTGCTGTGGATAAAACCATTCCTTGGTCGTTTTCGTACATGGGATTTGTGCTCGTCCAATAAAAATTATGACATCTGAGCTTCTTTGCGCAGCCCTCTTTAATGGGGTCTGAGAATGGCAATATGCGTTGGAGCTGGCACAGGCACAGGCTGTGTTTTTGTTTATAAATAGCTCCAGCCAGCATTATTCTACTTGCAGTTGTCCCATAATCATCAATCACTCCTACACGTGGGCTAGCTCCTCTTGCTCACCAGAGAGAAGGTGCATGGGGAGCCATGGCCTTGCACCTCCGACTGTTCGAGCAGAGCGTTAGTGAGTGGGACAGAGCTGGGAGTCAGAGAGGCAGAGGAGGTGGGGGTTATTGTGGTGATGGAGTGAGTTATGACAGCTTTCAGAAACCCCTCCCTCCTCCTCTTCAGGTCATTACATACACCAACATCCTCTCTAGTTCATTTCTTCACCCCATCCACACACACACACAAAGGTGCCCTCACTGTTTATGCCTGATCAGAATCAGTTGGGAGACTAATCGTGTGATGTGCTTGGAGGATGTTGGGATAGGTCAGGTGCAACTGTTTGCTCAGGATTCATTTCTCTTTGTCTCTCTCTATCTGGCTCCATCTCTTGCTGGGGAGGAGCTTTGCAAGGAGAGCTCATGGCTTTGAGAACACTGGAGGGCGAAGATCCCAAAGAGATTTTGTACTCGGGCACACATTCACAGATTTCACAGATGGTTTGATTATCAGACAAGTCTCATGTACAGTGGTTGCATATGCTTATAGGACCAGGTAAAACTAATGTCTTGCTCTTATCTTTATTTCTAACAGTTTTTACTTTAAATACAAACAGCTAGAAGCACACATAAATGTTCCGGTGTTACCATGGCAAAAATACTTTAAGAATCCAGATGAGCCTTAACAAAATGGTTACGTAAGTATTGCAGCGCAATGTCCTGTATCTTATCTAAGCTTGTGTCCTTATTTCTTCTCAGCCATTTTTTTTTTCTTTCAGCAGCTCTTAACGTATCCTGATTCTCACACATAAACAATGAACATATAAAGGACATGTGTAACTGAGAAAAGCCAATGTTGATTGAAAAAAGTAAGACATCTCACATCACTATACATCAACTAGAAACAAACATAACTAGATTTAATCCATTTGAAATATTAATCAAAACCTACATGCTGAAGAAGAGGTTTTAACACCTAATTAAATGTAGCAAACTTAAGGAGCACAATTAGAACCCACATTTGCTTCTATCCCAGCTCCTGACTGAATCTCCAGCAACAATACATGATAAATTTAAACTGATTTTAAGCCTCACCTCACGGAGTTCCTTGGCCACATCCTTGAGCTCCTTGAGAATGCCTTCCAGCTGATCAATCACCATCTTCATGTGGCTGCGGATGCGTTCTCTTGGGGTGGGAGTCTCAGAGGTGTCCCGGGCCGGAGCTCTGCTGAGGGACATCCTTTACAAAGCGGTGTGGGGCCAGTGGCCAACAGGCTGAGGGCGTGGGGGAGCCGAGTCGGGGTCCATGTCTTTGGCTACAAGGAGCCTCAGTGCTACTGATCCGAACAGGGGCCCCGGCCACGCAGGGAGGACTCAACATCTTAAAAGCACCTGAGCTGCCAAAACACCTTGCCTCGCCCGCACACTTGGCACAGGGTCACACGCTGACATCCATGCCTTCTGGTCAACCCTTCCAAAAATGGAGAGAAAATCAGCATGGGTAAAGTCAAACGCAGTAAATCCATGGAAAAAGATGAGGGGAAACACATGGGCTGAATCTCTTACATAACTGTGTTGAGCCAACTCATTTCGTGTGTCAGTGTAGCTGAAGTTGTTCCCAAAAATGGGTCTGTTTAAAAAAGCTTGCTTGTACAAGGAAAACTATTTTCCCTTCTCCCACTCTTTCTGTACAATCAACTCCATCGTTAAAACACAGCAGCCTCAATGCAAATCACCATACAAAAATGAAAGCAGCAAAGAAGTAACCATATTCTACAGTAGGTCACATAGGTTGTTAGCTCAAAAAAATAAAAAAAAAAGAACTCTCAGCAATGACAATTTTCAAAATGATCTTTCTTTTATCTTTCTGGTAGCCAGTGAGAACTAGATTTGCCTTCTTAATATAGTTTCTCACCAAAGGCTACAGTCTGTAAAAAGAGAAAGGTTGAATAACAAGAATATTTCTTAATACATTTTTAAGTTTCCATCCCCTGAAAAAAATAAGATTATCAATAAGAATTTGCTTAAAAAAAAAAATAAAAAAAAACTTTGCCTCACATACAAATTCCTTCTTTTACAAATAATAACCTTACCGTGTTGATTTTCTTTCTTTTTTTTTCTTCAATAACAAAGAAGTTAGAAGTGGGTATTCTTAAATATTTGTCCCCTTCCTTTTTATGTATTTATTTTTTTTAAGTTACCTAGCATCAAAGATTTCTCCAAAATGCAGAGCTCATTCCAGGTGATGTCGGATTAGGATAAATTGATTTCCAAGATGGCAGAGCGTGACTTGTGATGACAATTTGTGGAGGGGTTAAAAAAAATTGTTGTGCCAGTGACACCCAAATGAGCATTGTCCCCTGGACTTTGGGTGGCAGCTTATCTTATGCAACATCGTCCTCAGAGTCTTCTCCGCAAAACCCCCAGAAAACACTGACCCACAGCAGTCCACAGGGGTGTGCCCAAAAACCAAGGTAGCAGAAAGAGAAAAGGATTCTCTTGTCTCCTTTAGTTGTTGCTAAGGGAACCCAGTCTGCCTGCTTGTGCTGTGATTGGATAATTATTTTACTTCTTATCCATGAAATGTTTGTGGTTTCTCTGTGGACTGTCTTCAGAGAGGCAGAGCGCGCCGTGCCATCCAGCAGCGTAAGATAAATCCCATGAAAGCTTCCGAGCGGAGCTCTGGAGAACAGGCAGGAGGGAGGGCTTCTGGCCAAATCCAGGGTGATGCCACTGCCACCGGGTGAGCCGGCCAATCACACATAACACCTGGTTAGATGGAAAGGAAAGCAATCACTTAGTCTGGCATGACTCGTCCATATGTCAACTCGCTTTTAAAAGAGTTTCC